CTTAAGTGTTCTTTAACATTTATATATACATACATGCATAAATTCACGCATGTCTCCCATGAGGATTTTTTTTTTTTTAAGGAGGTAAAATCATCGAATTACTGCCCCCGCCTGGGTGAGGCGGGAGGGAGTGTCAGACTCTTACTGACTAAAAACCACCCCGTTCCTTCTCCTGCACGTCGAGCCGGAGCCCCGGTTACCCGTTAGGTTCTCCGCGACTCCGAATCGGCCTCCCATGAGGATAGGCAGAGACGACAATTGCTATGATTCTTACATATCTCTCTCGCTTCATCAACAGTCATCAGTCTTTTCATGCATGCTCGTCGGTTAAGGGTATTTTTGATTTGGTCTTTCTTTAATATATCGCCATTAACATCGGTGATTATGTGAGGTCATGGTACCAGATCACTCATCCATCTCCCTTTAATGGGGGCTACCGTTTCTTTCGTCACCAGATAACACAATTATATATCAAGAAGTTTTTATTGTCCAATCACTAGAACTATCCAATATTGAACGTCCAATTGAGTGAATCTACTTCCCTATTTGATGAAAAACAGAGAGTTTACACTAGCGCTACCCGGAGAGCATGGACTACGAGCTACATTGGATATTATTATGTTTTGAGGAACAATGATCATCAGTGCTCAATAGGGTAAAAGACTATTTTTTATTTAAATGTTCGTCTAGTAGATTATTTAAAAACATTAGGCACGTATTTTTATTTTTTTTTACGGAAACGAATAGTTTCGATGTTATATTGATTTGAAATGTCTCGTGACGTCACTTCTATGTACATTTTATACGTAGAAATGACGTTTTAAACCCCACTCCTAAACTTGGATTCGTTTTATACAAGTATCATTTTATTTTACAACAAAACAAAAAGCTACGTGTCTAATATTTTTCCATAACTTCTGACGGAATAATTACATTTTTAATTTTCATACCCTATCATCATCCCTATTATAACAAAAGAGTTAAAGGCGAGTGTAGATACATAAAAACATTTTTATTATATACATACATAACATCACGCCTTTTATCCCCTAAGGGGTAGGCAGAGGTGCACATTAAACCACTGTACAATGTAACACCCACTTTTCACTATTTATATTATGAGTCCCATGTAATAGGGGGTGAGCCTATTGCCATATACCGGCCACAATTCCAGACTCCGTGCTACTACTGAGAATATTTGAAAAAAACCCAGTAATACTTTGCCCGACCCGGGAATCGAACCCGAGACCCCTAGCCCGGCAGTCGCACTTACGACCACTCGGCCAACGAGGCAGAGCAATTTTTATTATATATACATATTTAATGGCCCAATGTTTGGCCACTATAACTAGAGTAAAAAATAAATCAAAATTATTGTAAAAAAAATTGTTACAGTTACATAAATCACTAGGTGTTACCCACGACTTCGTCTGCGTAAAATATGAATTTTATAGTACAATATAACTGTTATTTGATTTCCTTAGAATCATTCGAACATAGTATCACCTCCATTTTTGGCGGCGTTAAAATAAAAGTAGCCTACGTTACTCCTTAGTATATCAGCTACCTGCCTTTCAAAATCGATCCAGCTATTCCACAGATTAGCCAGTACAAACAGACTGACAGAAAAAATGTTAAAAATATTATTTTGACATGTGTATCGTATAATCATATGTCAGTAATTCAAGGAATAATAAAGAAAGTTATCAATAAATAGAATTAAATATCTTTGATAATATTTTCTTATCGGTTGAGTTCCGATTATAGTTATTGTAGGTACTATGCTTTGATTCAAATAGTTCCTATCTACTGTTTATAGATAATGGCGTCAATTACTGTTTGTCATAGATAAAATATGTTCTATAAACTCACCGACATTTTTGGACATTGAACTACAATTTTCAGTGATGTGATTAAGTTTTTGTGAGTGGAAAATCATCCAATGACATATGTCAGGTGAGAGTATAGGGAGTGTCAAACTCTCAATGACAAAAGCCACCTCGTTCCTACCCGTGCACTTCGAGGCGGAGCCCTGGCAATCCGTTAAGTCCTCTACAGCTACGTATCGGCATCAGCCCTATTTGGCCCAATCTGTGGTGGTCTAATGGCTCTTTGAAGTGTACGCGGAATGAGACGCGCTGTACGCTTGGGTTTCGTTCTATATGTAAATACAAAAAGGATTTAGTCGCTACAATATCGCTACGGTTTTTATTACGTGAATCGGGCTACTGATCAGAGGCCTTAGTACAAGTTTGTCTTATGTTTAAAGTATTCGTAACGAGACCTCGTTTGGCGCTCTAATTGGTTGGTTTATTGGTGCCGGCCAATCAGAGTGCCGAACGCGTACAATATTTGAGTCACTTCTGGACCGAACTTGTTTTGTCACTTATTATAATAGTTTTTTTATACTTTTTTTTAAATAATTAATAAATGTTATTTGCTCTGTAGTGGTTTTTGTATCGTCCTATTATTGTTTGAAATATGTTATACGTATCCATTTATTGTTTTATTGCATGTGTATGTGGGTTATCAAACTTCGTCGTATCGCAATAACATAATATCTATGCACTTTAATCATTCATAATTTGTCATTATTATTTATATACTATTCTGTAATGTATAAATTGTACATATGACTAACAAAAAGTAGTAGCTAAAAGACATTTTACACGGGGCAGTAGAAAAATGTCCTGACTTTATGCACCGTGGTAGTTTTAAATTACGTTTTGTGAAAACCAGATTAGTAGGTAATTTATGAACTGTAAACAGTTTATTAACATTATTTTATCACAAACACACACATACAAATCAATGCCGTAAAATTAAATAAAATTCTCTTTAGTGTGATTACCTGCTCCACTGTTCCACTGTTCCACTGCTGGGCAAAAACTTCTTCTTACAGGAAGGAATCGTTAATTTACAAAATTATGCTCCTAGTGGGTTGCCCACCCAGGGATAAAAAAGTGGACAACTAGTGCATATATCAAACCAGTAATATTTCTGTAAAATAAAATGTTTCGAGTTAGCAGATCACATAACAATAAGATACTTCTTTTTATTGAGGGAGGAAAATCATCCCCGGTGAGGCGAGAGGGAGTGTCAAACTCTTAATGAATAAAAACCACCCCGTTCCTACTTCTGCACTTCGAGCTGGAGCCCCGGCAACCCGTTAAGTCCTCCGCGGCTCCGTATCGGCATCAGGCCTATTGGGCCTTATCTGTGGTGGTCTGATGGCTCCTTGAGGCGTGCGGAACGCGGCGCGCCGTACACTCGAGTCTGTTTCTGGTCGGGCGGCGAGTCACCCGCGCTCGCCGTCCGCAGAACCATGAACAATTAGATACTTGGTCAGAAAGTTTTGATGTGTGTGAATTTGATGATTGTGTGAATCGAGGGGTAATATCTGACTCTTACTGACTAAAAACCACCCCGTTCCTATTCTTGCTCTTCGAGCCGGGGCATCGGCAATCGGTTTAACGGTGTATGTAATTCGAATATTTTAGATTTTATTATATAGTTCGTTATAGGTCGACCTAATAAAAGCGTCTTAAATAGTAAAAATTATTGGTTTATTTACCCCATTGTTTGGTTCGAAAGTATTACAGGGCCTCATTGCACAGTTGGTTGGAGTAAAAGATCTGCAGGGTTTTTTCATGTATTCATTCAAAGGAACTGGATTTTTAACCCAGTCTAAGACTTCCCCATGGTTTACCTAAAGAGATAAAATATTATCAGAAATTGTAGTTTGTGTCTTAGAAGAAGGGTGGTCGCAAACACAGCTAACGAATAAAAATGTAATGCATTAGAACTTTGGGACATGAGTAACTGACGAATAAAAGATGTAACATTAACTGCTTCTAGAAATTTTTTAACAATATTTTTTAAGGATACTTCTTTCAAACAGATTTCAAACCGCACCTAAAATTGACACATCAACAGCCGGTGGGAATGTAAGAGTTCAATGCTAGATTATGGGCCGATACAAAAGGGTACGTTTAGAAGTTACCATACCTATTATTGGAAATAAATATAACAGGTCACACATAGGACCTACTTAGTTTTAAAGTTTTTCGTAATGCTTGGCGACTTGGCTTCTCTCAGTTGTGCAGTTTCTTTTGTGCCTTTAAGATTAATTCATTATGGATTCTGCGTCACATTCACCGAGATAAGTGGAAACTATCGTTTTTCTTTGCCTCTAATAATATCATATAATATATTATAATTTATTTCGTTGCGGGATCCAAAAAGTTATTTATGTCTATGAGACGCGCCGGAGTAGCTGCAGTGGTATTGGGAGGTTGAGGCAGGCTTGTCCCAAAAAAAGTACATTTACCAGAAAAACGTCACTCAATCTAGTGACTGTATCAAGGAATTTGATGTAAGCGGCTTTAACTCCAGGTTGACTTTCAAGGTACCACTCGTGGAGGTAGAAGCCGAAAGGAGCTCGGTTGCCCAAGTACTGTTCCTCAAAATTTGTAATGAAGAGCTTGTACCATGCGTCCACATCGGTAACGTTTGGACTGAAAGAAAAAAACTTAGAAGTTTTATTTTAATACTAAAATACTGGACACTTCTCAATTCTGTGTAGACTGAATATTTTACTATAGTATTCAAAGTACTGTTAGCCTTGAAATCTTCAATAAAAGAGCATACTTCTGAAAAATTCGTGTACTTATGAGCGGAGTTGTTCGCTTACCATCAGATGATCCATCCGTTCATTTGGCCCCGAGTCGATGAAAAAGAAATTATAGAATTGTATAATGTGTGAATGTATGCATGCATGTATGAACTTACGTGAAATAACAAGAATCAGCCATAGCACATGGGTATCCCCTATCGTCCCTAAAAGAGAGCATTGGTTGTACCCAAGGTTTTGGAATGGAGGCAGTTGGGCAAGGTGGGACCGGGCAGTCCTGAATGGATGCATAGTCCAAGGTATAGGGCCAAAGTCCTGGATTTAAATATTTACTAGTGGGCCAGGAAGAGTCGTATTCTAATCCATGGTCAGCCATTACTTGGTAGCTTGTATTGCCAGCCAGCTGCAGGAATGGTATACGTACACCTGCGATATAACAAAAAAGTAAGAGCACCTTTTTTAAACATTCTATTTAAATTGATAAAAATTGCAAATTGATGTTAATGGTTATTGTGGTAAAGTATTTAATTCATTTCTTAGTAGTACAGACAACACTATTATTTTAACTGTTTGTTCAATTAATGATCAATAGATAAACAGAAGTCTCTCCTAACGCTTACCTCGGATACTCTCTTGAGGAATGTTGGCGAAATGAGCAATAAGTTCTTTTTGATCAGCAATTTCTTCCTTCAAATCTTTATAGCTGGCTGTTGCCCAGAACTCAGTAGGAGTTCTATGGGTGATTGAGTGTAGGGCGATTTCAAATCCTTGATTATACAATTCATTGATAAGGTGGTAGTTAGAGTACTCATGACTGACGTAAAATGTAGTTCCAATAGGGCACCCATTGGCATTCTTGCGATTGTAAAGAATCTCTCGGTAAGTTGCCATATTTCTGACGTTGACTGCATCGTCAAAGGTTAGTGTGATAAACTGAAAGAATAAATAAATAAAAACATGAAGAAATAATTTGATACCACATTTGTCTAGTGATTTGACTCAAACTCAAACTCAAGTCTTTGCCTTAATTTTAAAAAGCTCACCTGAGGAGTGTCCCTTGGACGGAATCCACCAGGAATGTCTGTGGACGAACATCTACAGTTTGGTAGCTTACATAGTTCTTCGTTACATATTTCAGCCAATGGCAGCTCAGCTGCTACCAATCCCAAAACTAGTACTGATACCAATATAGTCAACCGCATTTTGGATGTGTTAAATTTAATGATTACTGTAAGGTCTTATTATGGGCCTTATATAGAAGTTTTTAATCTTCAAACTTGATTGATTATCATCATTATCGAATTGTTTAGTGAATCATTTCTAGTGCACTTTCACTGCTATCAAAACGTGATGTGATAGGTTTGATCAGGTGAATAATTTTCCAAGAATGCCCGTTAATGATGTTTCAGGAAAAATACTCAAATATTTGCTTTAATTTCAAGTGCATTATTAATTAGTGCGTTTTTTATTAACGGAACAAGCCCGCCACAACCTCGGGACATAGATTGGTATGCAGTGCAAATTCTATGGAATTATTTATATGAATTTAGTTTAGTAGAATAAGTCAGTAGCGATACACAAGTAAAACAGTAAACAATAAGGGACTTTTTAATAATCGTACTCATGATGGCAAGACAATTGCAATAATGTAGTTACAGGTTAAGCAGGTACAAATGTGTATGGATGGTTCATACGCTTACAATTCTGCGCCCATTAAGTTATATCATTTTGATATGACACAGGACATTTTGAGAAGAGATTAGACTAGAGACGTTCTTTAAGTTCATTTTATTATCTATTATTATTTGCCACAAAAAATATTCTCGAATATTCAGTGCATACTGCATAGCCTCGTTATTCCCATGCCGTACCCACCGATATTTAGCGCGAGTCCCTGTCTTGTACATGCTGAACTGGTCCCATTTCACCGCAGACTTAGGACATTAGTAGATATTTATAAACTTATGTGGAAAACTGTATGTGTCACCTGGTTTAGCGTGTGAAATAAGGTTTTTTGTTTCTTTTTTTCTTTCTATTTTAAACAAATAATCTTTAAATTGAAATGACTTTTGAATGCAGAAACCGAGGAGCAGTGATCTTCAATAAGACTAAAGTTGCGAAAAAAGTGCACAGCTACGAAAAAGTACTACTTTAATTCATATACGAAAACGTGAAATACTTTTATCTTAATTATTTTTGGAAATGTCGTAAATTATCTTTTTATAAAAAAAAGATTTATCAATATTTAGATTATCAGTTATACAATTAATTTGTCACGTTCAATTAATCAGAATCAAATAACATGCACATAGCATTGTGCATACAGGTATTAGGCGACATACATGATACGAATACGGGTAGTGACAAAATAAATGAGGTAGTTTTATAATTACCAACTTTAAAAAAGGAGGATGTACTATGTTCGGGTGATTGTTACTGTTTTCAGCCGTTTTGGGGTCGAAACACATTGGTCATGGGGTCCCAGTGCACACTCTGTTTTTAACGATATCGCCCGTAGGCTAATCGACTACAAGTGACCTGGGGGCCTACCACAACGTCTTAGAGCAGTCTTATTATAATCTTACTTTGTATTTTCGTACCACAACGTCTTAAAATAACCTTATAAAGAGTTCTAAAACAATCTTACTTTTTTAGCAGTTTTGGTGACGTCACCTACGTATCGTTCGTTCAAACCGTACCATGAGGTGTTTTGTGACGCTTAGCAGTATTGTTTTTATGTCAAATTTAGCAATCTTAAATAAGTTGCTCCGGTGCTACTTCAACAACATTGATTTGAGGAATTTATTGAAAAATAAGTGTTACTTACACAATTACACATAAGTAAAACGGCATAAAATATGTAAAATTGCCTTTATTAAAATTGTGTTATGTGTATTGTAGTGATTTTGGTGTCCAGATACATAATTTTGTTGTTTAGTTTTAGATGGCAAGTGAATACGTAATCTTGGAATTTTTGGAGGCTTATCACGCCGGATCCTCGAATAGTCATAATAACAGGAAGCAGCGCATGCAAATGTGTGAAGAGTGTCCGCCTTTCCGTTTAGACAACACGAAATTAGTTAGGCGATATAGGCTAATACAGATGAACTTGTACGCAATTTATGTGACGAAATATAAGGCCATCAATGAGAAATCCACAAAAATCCACAGACTTATCTATCGAGACGAAGGTAACTATAACGCTAACAGTATCAAAAAAGTATTTAATGTGCTAATTTACCCCTTATATGTTGAATTGAAATTAAAATTGATTCTTTCATTTCTAGGTTTTGTGTCAGCAAACTGTATCATCTGCCATCCCACAAGTTACTACTTGCCTTAACTCGTTGGAAATGCGGAATAAGTACCTATATACAATTTCCAGAGAGCACCCCGGAATGCAACATGATCAAAACCCTTTGTTCCTTCCTTTCGCAGGGCTGCAGGAAGAAATCCCATAAGGGATATGCAGTACCTATGTACCTCTGTTTTGTTATAATATATTTTTTTTCTGTGTATTGTCTGTGTTGTGTACATAAATAAATAAATAAATAAATTATCTTCATAACATATTATTGTTAGTATTTTTGTGCCTGCCTGTGTCGTATACTGCGACTGCTGGCCACAAGCTTTAAATACTGGGCTGAGCAAAGTTTTATTGGTATTGGCCATGTAAAATTCAAAATAGTAGTTGGAGTATTTAAACAGTATAGGACAAGTTGTATTTTTATATGCCATAAATGTGTTTTCCCTGTGATTTAATTGTAAACTATTGGCTACAAATTTTACAATTAATAAATTAAATTTTATAATAATTTAAATTTTACAATATTTTATACTCTTCTGCTGCGAAATAAATAATTACGCTATACCACCTAAAGTATTGTAAGTATATGATAAAAATAGAATATTTAATAAATAAATTCTACAAGTTACCTTTAATTAAAAATATATACCTTGTTTCCATGACGAGAACAATAAAGTGCTAAGAATAGTACGTTACAGGTACCTACCCAATTGTTTATATTTTGTTGATTGACAAAACACTTGAAATGCCAAGTAGGAGTTTTGAATTTCGTCTATCGCCGCTATCGCGCCGATATTTTTACATCCAAACCAATATAAGTAGATATATGTGTAGGTCCGATTCACTATAATGAATATTCGGCTTCAATATTCATAACTTACAAAACCATTTTTCTTACCTTTTAAAGTTAAAAAAGACTAAAAGTGCATATATTTAAACACTTAATCCATATATTAATAATCTGTTAATGTAAAACTACTATTTTAAAGTTATTTTTTTTGCCAAACTACCAAAACGCTGCAGTTACTAAGATGTGATTCGGAACACATGTGTGAAAGAGATAGTGCTATACAAAATTTATAGCGCTGTTCCGTTTTGTTTTCTAGTAAGGAATAGACAATATGTTTAAATCATTCGTTCTTTCGCATCACTTAGCAGGAATAAAAAATTATTGAGTAATTAAGGTCATGGTACGAAATAGAGTAAGATTGTTATAAGCATGAAACAAAACTTTCTTATTATAAGGTTGTTTCATAAAAGGTTGTGGTAGGCCCCCTGGCTGGCTATTTCTTCGGACAGAAAGTAAACATGGTCGTTCAACGTAGCAATGCTGCTAGTCTTCTGGGAACGTTCCCCGGTGATAGTGATGCGGATGAGTACTTTAACGCCTAAATTAAGGGTATACTTTTGTTACCTAAAAGTAGAGCTTTACTCAGTTTATTCACGTGAGTAACCCGCGATTTTTAGGTAATTTAGTATGTCTCACGATAGGTATTGTAAAAACATAGACCTTTTGTTGTATTCTTTTCTTTTTTTTTACTTTCGTTTTATTTAATAATTCAGTTATGCTACTAATGCTGCAATACTGAAAGGTTACTCAATTTTAAGTCGTGCTTAAATATCATGCCATCTCTGTCATTTTACAAAGAATTAGTAGTGACAGAACTATACTTAAGCACGACTTAAAATTGAGTAGCGTTTCAGTATTCCGGCATTAGTGACAATAATCTTTATCTTTCATATTTGACAGTGGACCGCGTCAACATGACAACTAGTGCCCCCTATCACTGATTAGACTAGAGACGTTCTTTTAATTGATTTTCGTCGTCTAATAATTGTTAAGTATTACCATTTGCCATCTACACAGATAAATAAAATTTAAGTGTCCGTTTGTAATATTAAAATAACCGCTTTTTACTACATGCTTAAGAATATACATGATATACACATATCAAAATATTTTTATTTTTGTCTATCTGTTTGCACTGGCTTATCTGTAAAATAGCTGGACCGATTTTAACGAGGGTTTTATTGATTGATTTGAAAAATTGAATCATAAAAAAAGTTATGTCCTAAAATGTATATCCTACGCGGACATCGAAGAACACATCAGTCATTAACTAGCGTTGCAGTCAAAATATATTTAGAAAGGTGTAAATTAAAAAAAAAAAACGCAATAAAATTTTACGTATTTTTTATTATTGAAAAACCTTAAAGTCGATGTATTTACTGTCCCAGAGGATTGCCCAGCCATGGGTAGACACGTGGGCAGACGTTGCAGAGTTGCATCCAGTATGTCATCTGAAAAGATAAAGAAAACAGTGAATTTTAATAACATAACATCACGCCTTTTATCTCCGAAGGGGTAGGCAGAGATGCACATTATGCCACTGTACTATGTAACACCCACTTTTCACTATTTATGTTATGAGTCCCATGTAATAGGGGGTGAGCCTATTGCCATATACCGGGCACAATTCCAGACTCCATGGTACTGAGAATTTTATAATAACCCAGTATTACTTTTCCCGACTCGGGAATCGAACCCGAGACCCCTTGCCCGGCAGTCGAATTTGCGACCACTCGGCCAAAGAAGCAGTGAATTTTAATGTAAGAAGGATTGTAAATCAAATTGTTGTAGTCTAAATACATATCTAAAACATTCATAAAAAAGGCCACTTCTGATACATACCTACATAGAAAGTCGGACCTTGCTCACAGCGGATTGGTCATTCAAACTTCTAATTAAAAGTTATAAGTCTAGGTTTCCTCAAAACGTTTTCCAGTCGAATGTCAGTAGTGTCTAAACGATCTAAGTAAGTTTTTTTTATGGGATAAGCCGGTAAATGAGCAGACGGATCACCTGATGGTAAGCAATCGGCGTCGCCCATGGACAGCCGAAAAAC